TGTCAAGCGTTTCAAGCCCTTTACACGACGGTTGGTATTGCAATCTTTCACCCGCAGCTTGCATAGCTTGTTCTGCATAGCTTTTGCAATTATGCGAGAACTATCGCACGACAAGCGTGAAAACCAGGAAGGCGAACACCAACAGCAGGTAAGTTTTATCGGTTTACCATTAAGAATATCCTCTGAAAGACAGTACCGTGCGATTATGCGAACATCAGGAATTTTCGAACGTAAATCTGTACGAGTAACATTCACTTAACTTAAAAAAACCAGGATGCCAATGTATGGCGTGTGGTTTTAAATAAAATCATTCAGCAAAGTGCTTCTAATAAACATCAAAGTACAGATATGTACAGTATATAAATAATTCTGTTATTCTATACGTTACTTGTTTTAATGAGCTTAATAACTTTAAAGGTAACTGCCAACCAAAAACAAAAATAGTTACGAGCGCGGGTACACTTAGTTATAGTTAAGACCATGCAGCTTACTTAGTTGCAAGTGTGCTAGTTATATAATTATATGACTGTTATGTTATAATAATTATATGACTGCCCTTTTTCTAGCCAAGCCAACGTCCATTCCTCCTAGAGTATCTCCCTTTCGCTATCGGCGGATGTGCTGGTTTCGCCTTTGCCGATTTCGGCAATGCTGTCTTCCTGTGGTACAGTACACGCAAGATGCGCGGGCAGTGGTTTTTGTCGGCTGCCAATATGCGAGACAGAATGTGGGTGTCTGTTGGCTGGTGTGAAAGCGACTGTTTGCTACTGAACACGGGACTGTATTTAACTGTCCACGATCACCACGGTGCTGGTCGTGGGGATTGTCGAGTTCTCCGGGATTCTTCCTCTCTCTCTGGTGGCATGTCGTCCATGTTCTGTGGCACCATTACACCCTGCATGTACCGGCCCGGCTCGAACTGATATTCGTTATTCTACCATGTGCCGGCTTAGCGGTGGCGGACTTTGTTACCGTTTGGCACTGTCTCCAAGCCATTCTGCAGTTTCGACAAATTTGCCGGGTGGACTGGCACGACTTTTTTGACTTTGATTGGTCGATCATTGTTGACCAAGTGTACTACAGCGTACTGGACCTTGTCAATTGGTCGGCCATCTGGGTGGGGTATGTGACCTTTGTACTTCTTCGCCGGAAAGTAGTGTTCTGTTCTGTTTTAATGACTAAAGGGTAACCCACTCGAGATCCGGTCGTCGACCGGATCTGCTTAGACTCCATTCACCGATCCGACCATCCGCGACTTTACCGCAGTTCTGAATATGAATAACTATTTTTCAGTCTTGATGTTTTTCATTATATTTTATGTACAGTACATAAATAACCTTCTGCAACAGCTTTTCGGAAGGTCATGTCTTTCTTCATATACGTAGTAACTAGTAAAGTATGGCAATTCATAATATAATTCTTGGAAATTCAACGCGTCGGCGCGGTACTCGTTTCGGAACAATGGATGGAGCGGGAAAATAAAACTCTGTTATACACACAAGAAAAATGCATAGTTTGCTGCTCTATGTATAGAAGTATCGGAAACGCATTGTATAACACTAAGAACTAGAACAATATATAGATTATATACTGAATAATTACAGTGCCTTCTAAATAGACCATCATATTTCCAAAATCCAAACTAACTTAGTTTAGTAATTTATGAATAAACATATATTTACCATCGAAAACATCTATAATTGGACAATCCACATGGGCTACTGAGTAGAGTACGGTATCCGTTTCGTCATACTGGTACGAGTGTGTTGATTACTGACGCTTGTGGGAAGCCCTCCTCGCTATCATCACGGCCCATCCGTTTGACTTTAATTTTATATGAGCGCTGACATATGGTATATACTGACATGCTATGCGGAAGTCGCACCGCGACAACCGCACTAGATGACCAAACCTACTCAATCGGTAGAGTGGGAATATGCTCTGACTCCGTAAGTGGTACTACTGCCTACAGATCTGTACTTCCGCTAGGTACGAGCGGATTGCTGTGCCTAACGAAAGTTACCGAACCCGAAACACTCAGGAACTTCCCAAATGTTTAATCACCAAACCGAACGAACAAGTAAACAGGACAGAACAGAACGAAAGAAATGAACTTCCTTCTAACCTAGAGTCACACGACCTTTCAGCTAGAAACAAGCTCACAGATTTAGTTGAAATTAGAAACTTCAGACTGATTAGTTAAACCAGAATCGTGGATGCCATTAGCGATCAAATGCGTTAGATAAGAACAGCAAATCGTACGTAACGGAACAGACAACACGTACGTAATACGCGCAATCTATGCATAGCGCGTTAATACTGTATATGTGTAAACAGCTTTTCCATGTTTATTACTTTATTTTAACGCTTATTGCTGACCTGTACCCTGCAGGCATACATTTCTATAAACCACTTTAAAAACCATCACGCTTTAAACCACGTCAATCGTCGTTTGGCTATAACCTTCCCTGTGCTCAGCCTTGTCCTATTGCAAGGACCGAAACAAAATCAGCAAATACGTATCTCGGATCCATGCTAAACGCTAATCGGCTGCTTTTCCCGACGACCTACGTCGTGTGGTTTTCTGACAGAAAAAGCTTAGCTACAGGCCACAACTTTTAATCAATTCGGCAATACCCATCTCTCACAACATTTACGCTCGCGCTAAACTGTGCATTCCCAATCAAGGCACACTGCGTACTCTGTAAAAGCCTCCTGTCCCCAGTTTTTTCCAAGATCTCCGCTGCAGCGCACAGACATTCCGCATTCGGCACAATACGAAAATTCTGACACCTTTTCTCGGAGACTGGTAAACGGCTAGTGCAGCGCATTATGCACAAAAAACCTACATAGGCGTTGGATGATACCCGAATGTCTGAATCTGAGCAATGACATTAACGGATCAACCAATTTGACAGTGCGATGACCCAGAAAGTGGAGCCTCTCCTTCTCATAAACTGTTAAACTTCTGATGCGTACCTGGTAAGTGAGTGCCGACTGATGCTAAAAACATCAAGAGGATTCTTCACAGGTAAACAGCGAGTAGGTCAACCTTAGAATCTGTAGCTGGTAACGGACTACTCGCTGACCACTACAACCGCGAAGAATTCCCATACGCTGGAAAAGCCTTGGTTCACGCCGAAATTCAGCAGAGCGGGAATTCTCTTTACGAACTCGGACGCTCGTAACGTTTATGTTGGATCTTTGAAGGATTTGTTGGTAGCTTGGAAATGCCGCTCGATTCTGCCGTTTCGTCAGATTTACGGGGCCGGCACTGATATGGACTTTATTCTGGAGAATACGATGGACCCGATAATGTGGGGTTTTTTTAAGTTTTCTGACCGTGTGCGTTATGGTGCTGCTTGAGCTTGTCGACTGATGGGTCCTTTGGATGGAATATGTTGGGTTTGTCCTTCTGCACCGAAAAGAAATCCTCAGTGTTAATGACTAAAGACTAGTGTTGGGTCGGCCCGGCCCGGCCCGAGCAAGAGGGCCGGGCCGTCGTTTACACGGCCCGGGCCGCGGGCCGATCCGGGCTGCGGCCCGACATGTCCCCGGGCCGCGGCCCGGGCCGTCTTGCAGCACAATTAAATTTCATTCCCGGATGTCATTATGCAAGCGGCTACAGCGGGTATGTAAACGGAAAAATAGACGGATTTTCACCGAGAAACGTTTAATGCTATGAAAATTAGGAAAAACTCATCGAAAACTACTAAATTTCAATAAATACCAATGAAATTTTTTGTTTTCTACGTCTTTTCATATTTAACGTCCACAACGGGCCACGGCCGGGCGGCAGGCCATGGCCTTCTCCCCAGGCCGAGGGCCGCGGCCCGCGCAGCCCTCAGAAGGGCCGGGCCGAACACGGCCAGGCCGTTCGGGCCTTGACCTGGGCCGGGCCGGCCCAACACTACTAAAGACTAGCCTGCTCGAACGTTCAAATGTGCCACGTACCATTTCCTTTCACCGATCCGACCGCGTCCACGAATTAAAGTGACTGCACTTCTGCACTTACTGCAATGCTGATGCTTTGCTGTTTAATAATTTTTATCCTCTGTTATGACTGGATATGTACAAAAAGTTTTATACTTCAAAAATTTGTGTCTGATGCTCACGTCTTTCACCAAATCTCACTAAATATATTTCCAAAAATCAGTATACGAGACGTAACGAGAGTACGTACGTGCCGCGTACGATAGCGTTACAGCCAGTTAGAAATTACATTATACATACTTATTAGCCAGCTTGAATAAATCCTCCCCATGTGATTTTTTAGCAGTTTTTTATCAGTTTTGTTGTCATATTTATCGGTACATGTTGATGGCTTCCAGAAACTACAGACTGTATTCGCCGCGAGTTACGATACCTTTTTTCTATTTTTCTTCTGTTTTTAGTTCTGCATTTTAAAATCATTTTCTTTCGAAACGTAAAGAGCGAAAACTGTATGACATTTCAACATCTAAATTCTTACGAGTTAGTTATGGATCCGGTCATAGACACACGCGGCATAACGAATCTGGATTTTGAATTCTGATCAATCCTCACTCTATGCAACTAATATTTCGCAGGAATAATTTATTTGATTTGTGATTCCATCGCAGCCAGTTCTGTATTAACGCACAGTAGAGCAAGTTTACCACCACCGTGAAAAAAATGCTGCGCCAGACGCTCGACAAGGTTTGGTAGACTTAACAATAAGCATCGAAACTTCAAAAATTGGCGCTGGCGGTTGTGGAAGACGCGGAATTAAGTCAGTACTTCCGAATGCAGTAGTGATATTACAAAAGTATCGTGCGGCAACCGGTTTTCGTGTTACCTGGTTGATGCCGGTCTGGTACAGTCTGTAGAACGTAAAAGCGCAATTAAACATTTAATTATTCGCCGTTTGCTCTAATCGCATCGAGCAGCGACAGTGCAAAACAGATGGAAATGGTTTATTTCGGCCTCGAGTTAGCACAAATTTTTATTAATCGTCAGCTCAGTGCGTACATGAGCGCTATCTTCTAGTTCTAACCATAAAAATATGTACTCTTGTATCGTATGTACTCGGTTCAGCCAGTGTAGTTGATTTGCTGTCAGCTGATACAGTAAAAACCGTGTTGCACATGCACGGTTTTTATGCCGTTTTTTATTTCGGTTTCGGTTGGTATGAAATTCCTTCCAGATCAGAGTAGTTCTCAAGCCAGGCTAAGCCTACAACGATCATTTCCATGGATGACTCCGCGATCCAAAATGTGCAGAAGGCGCTGCACTTTAAGCGTTCTCGCTCGTACGGTGATTTTTCCACGTTTGATCCTGCTTTTGACGATGTGATGAGAAAAGCTGTGGAGAAGAGCGCGTATGCCAAGCCTTTCAAGCGCCTCATACGACGGTTGGCACTCGTGTCGTTTGCCCGTATCTTGCTAATATGGATAGTCCTTGCTGCTGAATATATGCACGCCCAACCAGGGGATAAGCGTGAAAACCAGGAACGCGAACACCAAGAGCAGGTAATCTTTTAACGGTTTAATCTACAGATATCCTGTGAAGAGCAGTACAGATACATTGTGATTGTGCGTCGTGCTATCGTCGAGAATTCTCGTACAGATAATGCTGAGCTGCATAAGTACATTAGTTTTGATAAACTTTAAATAAAATAACAAAATAAAACTAAATAATAAACTAAACAATACTTAAAACCTACTAATTTTTGAATAAGGAGCACTCGCTTCGGATATGTGTCCCGCTGCAGCCTTCATTTAGTATGCGGTTTTAAATAAATAAATAAAGATACACCGGGTGGCCCAACAAAATGGCGGTCTCCGCTTTTGGTTTACCTCTCGGCTCTCGCGAACCACACATCATATCGTTAGCAGACTCATTCGATAGACATTCTCCCTGTTGGCTACCGAAAACAATTGTACAGTAATTTTTTCCGGCCCGTAATTCAGAAACATGTTTTAAAGAAGGATGTCAGGTAAAATGGTATGAAACTTTATTGTGTCCCGGCTCACAAAATGCAGAATCTCGTGGCTTTATTTTCCTTGCAAACTTTTTGAAACATTTTCAACTGTTTTTTGTGGTGAATAATTTCTTTTTTCAGTAGAAAACAAGTTGCTGGCATGGCACATGCGCTGAATTAACTAATCGGTAATCGCACTTTACGACTTTCTCCAGAAATGGAAGTTTTTTATACATTTGACGTTACCAAGTAATTTTGTCACGAAATTTTTTTATGGATGACAGGAGTGACAGAAAATGCCTCTTTAACTAATAAGTGGCCACGTCATAACAAGTTTGACTAAAATTACGCGAGGCCGACGCACGTTTTTACAGCTGAAATTTCTAGAAACTCTACATTCTGGTCACGCTCCATTTGGAGCATGGTTTATTTATAAAAGAATAAGACATATTTCGTGTGATATGCGGGCTTTGCGGAAAATAGTAAATTGTATACTTATATTTTGTGCAATGATTTTAAACGTTCATTCATTAAAATCCGACAACTGGTTGATTTTGTGCGGAGCGCGAAGCCAACATACAGTTTGACTGCAAAATTTGTTAGTACCGTATTTCAACTAAGAACACTAATTTCTGCGGTTTTTTTCCCAAGCCGGTTAACCTTTATAGGCAGCACTCCCCTTTACTTTTTGAAGTACCCACTTTTCCAGAACTTCCGGGGCACGTGCCCCCGTTAAATTCGACACTGCCGCGAGTTTCTGAATATCATTCAGCGAAAATGGTCATGAAAAGAAGGGCATTAAGGAACAACATATTTTTGAATAAAGGTTTATGCGCTTAGTTCGTTACTTTACTAAGTTTACTTACGTGAATTTTATAAATTAGTTGCAACTACCTATTGTACCTATTGTTCTGACTCTATTCTGACTTTATCGTTCTGTGGCTGCGTTTTTTTAGTCAAGCCAACGTCCATTCCTCCTGGAGTATCTCCCTACCGCTATAACCGCATGGACTACCTTCGCTTGTGCCGGTTTTGGCAATGCTGGCTTGCTCTGGTACAATGCGCGCAAGATGCGCGGAAAGTGGTTTCTGTCAGCGGCAAAGATTGAGAACAACATGTCCATGTCTGTCGGTTGGTGGGAAAGCGAAAGCCTGCTATGGAACCTGGGCTTGAACTTACTGTTAGCCATGCTGGCCACGGTCAGCATGGTGACGGTTGTGGGGATTGTCGAGTTACATTTTCCTGGATTGTTCATCTCGCTCTGGTGGCATGTCGTCCATGTCCTGTGGCATCATTACACTGTGCATGTACCGCCCCGGTACGAATTGCTGTTGGCTATGCTCCCGTGTGGCGGTTTCGAGGTGATCAAGCTGATTACCGTTTGGCAGTGTCGTCGAGCCATGCTGCGGTTTCAAAAAATTTGCGCCGCAGACGCGCCCAAGGAAAACGCCTTTGACTGGTCGATCATTGTGGAGGGATTGTACTATAGTGTCCTGGCTGTTGTCCATTGGTTGGTCATTTGGGTGGGGCATGCCCTTGTTCTGTTGCGCCGAAAACCATTCACGCATTCATTCATTCATTTATTCATGTATCAGAAGCGGACGACCCGGTAAACTGGTCTTCGGTATGTGAGACTTCTGTTAACGACGAAAGAACACCAGCTCGAACATTCCCAATTTGTTACGATACCTGGTACCGATCCGACTGTCCGCGTCTTTACACTATTCTTCAAACTAATTTCTTGGCCTTCTCATCTAATGTTTTTCTGCTTCATGCATAATTGTCTGCAATGTGAATTTCGTAGTTATATTTTGTAGTTACGCGCGATGGATGTTGTAGAAGTCTTTCCCGAAAATACATACGATAGTTTTCCGTACCGCAAGCGGTACAGTTATTAGACTCATTTAAACAACTTACTGAACAGCACTCAGTGGGCACCGGCTTAGTCTAGTTAGTTTGTGTTTTCGTTTCTGTGTTCTGGTGGACTGAGAAAACAAACGGTGGCACCGATCCGATCATCCGCGACTGTTGCCGCGATTTTGAAAACTAGAGTAATCTTCGAGTCTACTCGAATAATCATTCAATATTTTTCGAATCATCTCATGCTATTTAAGTTCTGCAAAAGATTGTTACTGATGTTCACGTCTTTCCTAGTATGTATGCGTAAGCACAGTTCACAGATATCGCTGGAGATATAAGAAGTAAATGCAGCTCCTTCTCGGTGTAAGAGAGTGAGCGGAAGAAGTAAAGGATGCCATTTTGTTATTTTGATAAATGTTTACTTGGCACTTTCTGAATACAAAAGGAAATACATATATAGCAAAGAATTCACAATTGCAAACTGCATTTTCTACTACTTGCTTATCTAACATTGTCAGAATTAATATTTTCTGCTATTGTACCGGAAGCATACCCTTCTCTTCGTATTCGAACCCTTGTTCATCATTGCCAGTAGCACATAGTTAGTAGCATTTCCGAATTCTTAAACAGACCGCCATGCGTATCTTCGCCGCATGACCGCCGCCCTCGTCAAACGCAGCGCCAACAACGCGGTTTCCCCCCCAAATGGGCAGTTGCATCACGGGAACAAAACACATAAACAAATAAAACTCTTCTCAATCAATCAGATACAAATAACTGGTTACAAGTACATTACTTCGTAGCTTGGCTGATGATGACAGCGCATCTAAGTTAGGAGTACCGCGCTCTCCTACAGTCATAAAACACGCATCTTTCTTGGATGAATGGAATGAAATTCGTTCATAAAACGGCGGGTAGCGCGCGGTACTGGATTTTTCGAACTTAGTGTAATCACATCAGGTCAGCAATAATAAAGGTCAGTCCATTCGCGAAATTCCTTGGCATTCGGAGGGGTCATGTGATTAATGAGTCCGCACTCCGAGCCGTTTTCGAAAGGACGCAGCAAAAAAAGCAACTGCAAAGTACGGCTGCGTTTTCAAGACCAGCCTTAATTGCATATATTCATATTGGTGCAGAATTTTTATGTGAATTATTTAAGTTCCGTAGCGCTACTTTTCCCGACTAGCGAAATGGCGGACTGAACAGCTGGGATCCCGGCAAAATCAGAGCCGCGTCTTAAAGTGTCACACATTGTATCAACTATCAAGTACTATCAAGTACCAAGTACAATATCAACTATCAAGTACAATATAAAGACACCCGGCAAATAGGTATGTAAGAACTCCGAAATATCGGCTCTGTAATGGTTTCCCTGCAAAGCAATACCGATGCCGGCCCTGCAACAGCATAACCGATCGGCGACACTTCTAAGCCGTAAGGAAGTCGAACACCGCTAAACCGACATACGGGAAAGCTGCAAGGAAGATTTCGTGTTTCGCCGCATAAATTGTATAAGAATGGCACAATACGTAGCAGACATGCCGCCGGCGTGAGAAGAACAATTCCGGATCACACAACTCGGCAATCCCCACGACAGTTACCCTGCTGACCGTGGCGAGTACGGTGGACGCGAAGTAAGCGTCAGACACACTTGCACAAGCACAGACTGTGGTGAAAGTGCAACGAAGAAGTGTGCAAACGAAGAAGTGTACAAACTGTGGTGAAAATGTGCACTTTCACCACAGTTTGCACAGTTCCACGTGCTTTGCAGTACATTCGCTGCCGACAGGAAACAGTGTCCATCCAGCTTTTTACCACAGCACCACATCACTGAAGCACCGAATAAATCGGCAAGGGAGAGCGCAGGACAGATTCCCAAAAGGCAGCCAGCCAGGAGGAAGAGACATTTAACTATCTATTTAAAAACGATAGTCGTAGAATTGTTCATATTATTGATAGAATCAGTGGAGTTTTAACAATGTACATAATACGTATTATGGGTTTACGTTTGAGGAACGGCAGAATAGATTAAATTTGATTAAGTTCTTCTCCCCGAGGAATTTTAATACAACGCTCGGCAAGCTAATTTAATTAGATTGAAAAATAACAGTGTTTTGACAAATCACTTTTTAATTATTGAGGTTGCTTAGAACTTGGAACCAGATATATAACAGATTCTCAAAACGACTAATATTCGAGTGCAAATCGCTTGTTAGATTAGCACAATCTAGCACTATTTTGCCTGAAGTACCAATGGCTCAACTACCCTAGTACTTGTATAAGCGGCGTATTAAGTATGCTGCATGCATAACACATAGCCATCGTCATAATTCTTCTGCTTGATAATATAATTATATATTATATATTATTATATATTATTATTACTATCTGTTATAACTGTTAAATGTACTTAATCTTATACGGTAATTCCAAAATAACGTCGACTGTTCACGTCTTTCTCTCTTTGTAGTGTTTCAAACTGTTAAAATATTTAAAAGCTGGTTCTCATCCTTCGTGTGTGGCTTTCCGTTTCTGATATTAAGAAGTTACGTGCGAATGCACGTAACTGCTCCCTGCTTGCTTTGCGTAACCGGAAGTTTATCATTCTTTACATGTTCGGCTCCTTTTTAAGCTTTTGCAGAAAGCACATGACCAGTCTTTTCCGGTTTTTCGACGCTTGCTCTAATCGCGTCATACAGCAACAGCCTGATGAAATGGTTTATTATAGCCTCCCGTCCGGAGTAGTGATTGCGAGCTAATTATACATCGTCAGCTCAGCGAGTACATGAGCTGTACTTTGCGTCACAGAATGTACTCGGCTCGCCCAGTGTTATTGAGTGTGTGCCTGTGTGGCTGCTTCAGTAAACCGTGTAGCACAACATGTATGGTTTTATGTCATTTGATTTTGGTTTCGGTTGTTGCAAAATTTCTCCCAAATCTGAGTACTTCTGAAGTGTAAGTTTCTGAAGCCAAGCCTGTAGCGATCATGGCCATGGATGACTCCGCGGCCGGAAATATGCAGAATCCGCTGCATCTTATCCGTTCTCGCTCGCGATCGTGCGGTGAGTTTTCTACCTTTGATCCTGACTTTGACGATGTGATGAGAAAAGCCGTGGAGAAGAGCTCGTATGCGAAACCTTTCAAGCGCCTAATACGGCGGTTGGTACTCGTGACTTTTGCGTGCACCCTGCCATTCTGGATGACCCTTGCCGCGCAGTTTAGGCAAGGCCAATCGGGCGAAAAAGCGTGACAATCATGAACGCGTACACCTAGAGCAGGTAATCTTATGAGGGTTTAAAATTAAGAAAACCCTCTAATAAAATCATATAAAAAACGATCACAATTATATCAGCTGTATGCCTTCATTGACAACCCCTTTAGCATGCTTTTATGAATGAGCATACTGCATATATAAAATTAATATACGTACTCGCATAAATTCATACTGTATAACGTTCTGTCAACCCGGTTTGTGTGTATTTCCGTTTCCGCAGCCGTCAGACTGGTAATAATAGATGTCTGGATGAAAGAAAATGTCCGGTAGCTGAATGCGATACAAAACCCAAACGATACGATGCGATACATCACTCGCGGCAAATTTGTCTGCCAATGTATGGCTAGAGTTTCTTAATATCATTTAGCAAAATGTCTCTGAAAAGAAAATAAGACATCAGGACACTTAATTACCGGTAATCAAATTAGTGCAACTTGCAACTATTCTAATTCTTTAGTTCTGCGGCTGCGTTTTTCAGTCAACCCCATGGCCATTCTTCCTGGAGTACCTCCCTACCGCTCTAGAAGGTTGCTATACCTTCGCCTTTGCCAGTTTTGGCAATGCTTGCTTCCTCTGGTGCATTGCGCGGAAGTTGCGCGGACAATGGTTCCTGTCGGCTGCGAATAACCTCAGGGACGACATTTCGGTGTCGGTCGGTTGGAGCGAAAGCAATGGCCTGCTATGGGCCATGGGATTTAATTTGATGTTGGCCATACTGGCCACGATCAGCATGGTGACGGTTGTGGGGATTATCGAGTTCAATTCTCCTGGGTTTTTCATCACGCTCTGGTGGCATGTTGGATATGTTTTGTGGCATGATTATACGGTGCATATACCGCCCCGGCTGGGGCTGCTACTCGCTATTCTCCCGTGTGCTGGTTTGGAGGTGGTCGGATTGATTACCGTTTGGCAGTGTCGCCGAGCCATTCTGCGGTTTCAGAAAATTTGCCCGGCCGACGGGCTCGACGATCTTTGGTCGTTGATTGTAGATCGAGTGTACTACACTGTACGGGATCTTGTGGATTGATCGGTCATCTGGTTGGAATACATGCCCTTTGTCTTGCTACACCGGAAAATAATGTTCTGTGTCAATGACTAGTGAATTACTCGTTCTGTGCACATAATGGTCTGCAGATGGTCACTGCGAAAGCCAGTAGACTATTAGTCTACTGGCTTTGTCACTGCTGATGCTCGCGTCTTTTCCATTATGCATGCATAAAACTAAAAGAGTCCATACTGTATCACTACAGATTCCAAAAGGAAACGCAGCTCCGTCTGTTATAATAGAGCAAGCCGAAAACGTCTGGAATTTTTGTTATTATGATAAATGTACGGTTTTGTAGTTTCTGCATATAGGAGAAAGCATATAACCATGAATTTAAAAAAAATAAATCAGCATTTTCTACTGGTAAAGTAATTTGCTTATTCATCGTAAGTTATCAAAATAATACCAGTTTGTACATTTTCTGTTATTGTGCCGGAAGACCAGTAATACATAGCTATTAGCTAGTATAGTAGCTGTTATTGTGCCAGCAGCACATAGCTACTGTAGTTGCAGTTGGCCGTTTGAACAGACCGGCATGCGTTTCTTCGCCGCCCTCGTGAAACACAGCGCATAACATTGCCGTTTTCAAATAACTTGTTACGTGCTTTATACAATAGTTTGGCTACTGGTAACCGCGCATTTGATTTTGCGCTTTAGTCATACACACAAATAAATATTTTTCTTGAATGAGTAAAATAAAATTCGTCCCTACAATTAGAGCGCGGTAGCGGATTCATCCAACTTGGTATTTACGTCAGGCCAGCAATAGAAAAGGTGACAACTACTCTGTAGTCGAATAAAGTAATCGAAGTATGACTGTGTTTTCATTAC